GGCCAATCCAAAAAGATAATTGCGGGGGTTCTCAATGTAGCGACGCATCTTGGCGTGGATGTGATCCTGGTAAACATCACACCGTCCAGCACGACGCTATCGGAGACGGACCCGCCAGGGATCTTTTCTATCTTGGCGTATCGCTTGATGTCCACCTCCTTTTGGCCCGTGTTCTTGTTCTCTACGACAACCCGCTGTGTCGCGGCCACCGCCATTTTGCACATAATATCATCCTCACGTGAATTAAACTTTGTGCCAAGACATGCCCGCACGACAGACTCCAACTGCTGCGTGTCATTCGGGTCAATGGTAGTCCCAATCATCTCGATTGCCGCCAGGGCGTCCGTCAGTGCAAGGGAGAAGCCCTTCACTATCTTCAGCGGGTGAATGTTACGCTCCAGGAGGGGTTGCGCCAGGCTTAATATTTCCCCCGTGAGCACAATGACAGAAGTGGTGCCGTCGCCAACCTCCTCGTCCTGAGCACGCGCGAGCTCCAGCATGTGCTTTGCGGCGGGATGCACCACGTCAATCTCGCGAAGGATGCAGTTGCCGTCATTCGTCAGCACCGTGCCGCCCATTGGATCAAGGATCATCTTGAGCATTGCACACGGTCCAAGTGTGCTGCTGATAAGACTGGCCACAGTCTTAGCCACCTCAATGTTGTTCATCTGCGCCTTGCGTCCGGTCTGCCGCTCTGTCTTTTGGTTCAAAACAACCACCGGCTGCTTTTGTGAGTACATTGTCGCTTTCGTCGTGTTGTTCTTTTTTTTTTTTCCTTTTTTTTTTCCTTTAAATTTATTGATCTTCCCTTCTTAAATCCCTATAATCGTTTGTTTGTTTGTTTGTTTGTTTGTTGTTGTATTATTGTGATCCTCTTCTGTTTCTCTCTCCTCTTCTCCATGCAAGGGAACATCAACAAAAACACAGACACGACACGTGAAGGATGGCCAACAAGTACACATGTATCCGTTTACAAACATTCAACAGAAACAAAGACACACACACACACACACGCATGCAAAATATCAATAATAAAAAATAAAATAAAATTGTTTCGTTCCCACCGTATTTCCTCACGCCCAGGCAGCATTTATATTTCACTGAGGGGCACTTCGGTGCCTTGTCGTTTCGCACATCAGCGCCCCCCGCTTATGCGCTGCGCACGAAATACCGTCATCCCCGTGTGTTCTTGTGGTATCCAGAATAACAGCGACTGGGAGGATGTTGGCTACTTGTCGTCCAGCCCGTAGTCCGGCGGTGGTGGCTTGCCATTCCACCTCCGTGTGCGTCGCTCCTTCGGCTCCAAGTTTTCAAAGGTGAAGTTGTTCGCAGGGAAACCATACGTCTGACCAGCGTACATGCCGCTTAGCCAACGCAGTGAACTCTCCCTCACCTTCTCCTCGGTGAGAGAAACAGTGTTTTTCAGTGCATAGGATGAATTAGCAACGCGTGACGCAACCCACATCTTTGTGTGCCGTGTAAAACCGTGCTCGCACACCTCCTCCATAGGCACATCCTCCGTGTAGCACAAGAGCGCATGGGGATGGCTCTCAACGGTACTCTGAATGAGCCTCTCCTCCCACACGAGGCGGGAAAAAACGACGAGACGGCCGTCGTCGCGCAGCAGTAGCAGCGCATTCTCAAGAGCCTCTCGCAGCTCGTACATCTCATTGTTCAGAATACAGCGTAACGACGTGAAAAACTTCCATGACATGGGCGTTTTGCGTCGACTGCTCTGCGTACTCCACACCTCCTCAGGCAACATGTCACCGGCGGCCTCAACGCAGCCGATGACGTCCCGTGAGGACGTGAAAGGTCGACGACGGCGCACCTCACGTGCCATTTTCATTGACTGCTCGGGTGTAAGCAGAGCATAGGCACTCAACGCACCTGATAAAGCGTGCTGCGGTACTGTGTTAAGGTACGCAAGAGCGCCAATTCCAAGCTGTGGCCCGTAACGCATGTCAAGATGGTGACTGTTTTCGTCATCAAGAAGAAATCCGCGCTCCGGATTCTCCAACTGCGTCTCGGAGGGGCCAGGGTCAATCATTACAGCATCAAAGGACCTTTCACCAAACAAAGACTTCGCTTCTGACATTTGACGGCAAAAAAATTTAAAACGGTCAGCGCCAAACTCGTCCACCAGCTCCATTGCAGTCTGCATGACGTCGTGGTCACAGTCCAACGCGACGACGCGTGTGTACGGCCCTCCATTCTCAAGCACAGCCCCTGCGTGATAGCCGCCGCCGAGGGTGCAGTCCAATACGTCATACAGCACAAGCCGCTTCTGTTTGGCCACACATGTCGAAAGCCCCCCCGTCACTGTCAGCGCATTCTGCGATGACGTCAGCGGGAGTGATGCCGCCACGTTGCGTCTCATCTCCTCCCGCACCTGCCGACGCCTACTCCGTGGGGCCCTCTTCGCCTGCAGAGCCTGACGCACGCTACTGGTGCTTGGGTAGCCGTCCTCAATCGCCCGCGTCGCCAGATGTTCGGCGAGCTCCTTCAGCTCCAGCCACCGCAGTCCTCCGCACACGCCCTGAAAGAGCTGCTTCATCATTAGTGGCGGGTGCTCCACCCGGTTTAGTTGAGACCAACGCCTCGGTGCAACGATGCGTTTCATGACTTCATCCTTTTTTGTTGTTGTTGTGTGCGTGGGCGCGTTGCCGCTCAAATCCATCGTGGAAGCCGCGAGCAAACAAAAAAAAAAAAAGAAAAAGAAAGAAAGAGAGAGAGAAAGAAAAAGAAACGGCAAAATCATCCATTCTTTCTTCTCTCATTTTCATCTCCGTGTAGGTTTTGCTGTGTCCCCTTTATTTATTTATTTATTTATTTATTTATCGATTCCATCAATCGCGTGACGATGAGGCAATTCCACACAACGTCGTCCCTGCCACCACTAAACCACATCCAAGCAGCGTTGCTGGTCGCAAGACGCCTTCATGCAGCACAAGGGCGCTCACCAGCACGGTGATAACAAACGCCAAGGCGTTGGCGACCATGCTACCCACCGCCACATCGACATGACGCAGCCCGAGGAAAAACAAAACAGACCCACTCAAGTTGAGAAGTTGTGTCGCCATGTACTTGGGACGCGACAACAAAAAACGCAGATCCTCCAGGAACGAAGAAGAACTCACAGCCATGCCGCTGCTGTAGCGCTTCAGCAACGGGTTGGTTATGCCCCAAATAATCGCCGCAAGAAGGAGGAGCAGCATTCCCCTCCTAATCCCCTCTCCGCCAAGAAGCCAGTGCAAAAAAAGAAAAAAAGAGAGAGAAGGACAACCAACAATGGCAATGGTGGCATAAGCGCTAAAGAGGGGAAATAATAATAATAATAAAAATAATAACATAAAAATACAGACACACCTTTGTCCGGCCAGGCACCCTGATTTTTTTCGCTCTCTCTCTCTGTGTGTTTGTGTCTCACACAATCCTCCTCTTCCTCTTCCCTTGATCCATTGTCGCTCTCCACCTCTCGCCGCATCATGCATAGAGGCACCTTCACTAACGCTTGGCAAACTTTCGCTTGACCTTCTTTCCGTCCAAATACCCGGGGAACTGCCCCCTCTCGCGACGACGATCCACGGAGAGCAGGCCGGACTTCTTCAGAGGAATGCGTGTGAGAGGCAAGAGCTTCACAAGGGCGTTGGCAATCGACATGCGCAGGGCAAAAGCCGCAATTTCGTTGGCGATGGAAGGCATAGCATGCCCCTCCAACACAATGTGTACGTCAAAGTCCCTATAATCCAAATTCGCCTCATCAAAAGGCATAAGCAGCATCTCCATCAGCCATGCCTTATTATCCAGCACGAGGGCCATTGGCTTGCCCATGATGGTGATGGCGCCGTTGTGATCTCGGTTCTCACGCAAGAGAGCAGTAAATTGATACTTTTCCCCATCCGCGCAACCACGGCCGACGGCAATGCCGGTCTCCGCATCCACCTCCGGCTCGTCAATGCGTACACCAATCTGGTGGCGTGAGTCCTCACCGGCCACCTTTCGTGCAAAATCTTTCAGCACCGTGTAAAAGTGACTATAACTGTCAGCACTGTCCGCAATAAGGGTCGCTCGGCTCATAAGTTTGTAATTCTCAAACATAACACGAACGTCGTCCCTGTTAAACTTCCGTCGGCTGAACTGGAAGAGCGCGTGCTCCGTCTTGAATCCCCGTGTTTCTGTGAGGCGTCCCATCCAGTCCAAGAAATTTGTGTAATGACCTGGAGCATTATCAAGACCCACCGCTTCTGCCGTGATGGTGCGACTCAGCTGTCGCGATGCGGTGTTCATCGGCTTGCTGATGGAGTCCAATGTACACTGCACAAGCGCCTGGGCCTCGTAGGTGCTGAGATACGGAAAGAGGGCGGCAAGAACTTCTCCAAGCTGTTCTGCATCAAGACCGTCCACGGATGCATAATAGTCGTCCGCCGACTGAAAATAAATCCCGCCGCTTATACGCATCCATGCCTCTTTAAGTGATTGCGCGGTAAGCTCTAACCGCAATTCGTGGCGCAGGGATGACAATGTGTTATGCCCGGCCGGTACGTATTCCCCCGGGTACATGGGGTATTCACGGAAGTGAAATAGGCTGCCGTGTGTTGCCTGTGCGCTCGAGGTGAAGGCGTTTTCGCCCAACTTCAATGGCAGTTGCCGTTCCCGGAGGCTTTCCTCTTCAATAGACATCTCAATGTCTTTATTACGCTTAACATGCGAGTTCACCCACAGCAAACGTTCACCGTCCGTCTTTGGAACGCCGGCGGTGCCGGAAGGAGATGACGCGAGGTTATTCGCAAGACGAAAGAGACGGGCGTGGCGTGCCGTCCTGGGTGAGAGCAGCTGGTACATAAATGACAACCGCAACTTCGTGTGATAAAATCTATCGGGCCGCACCTGAGTGTGCGCGTGTGTGTTCGTGTGCGTTCCACTCCCCTCTCCACGTGTAGGGAAGAAAAGGAAAACGTCGTACACAAATGGAGGAGAATTACAAAAAAAAAAAAAAAAGAAAAGAAAAGAAAAAAAGAGGGCCCAAGCGCCCACAACGCACAAACAAGTCAACCAGCATGCACAGTAGAATTTTTTTCTCCTTTTTTTTTTTTTTTGGGTTTTTCGTCCTCGGCCTTCACTTTTCTTTCCTTTTTTTTTTTTTTTTGGTGTGTGTGTGTGTGTTTCCTCCCACACTGCAAGCAATAGACGGTGGTGGTGGTGGTGGTGTCATCTTGCAGTAGAAAAAAAAAAAAAAAAAAAAAAAACAGCACACACACACACACACACACAGAGCCGGAAGACGATAACAAAAAAAAAAAAAAAAAATCACGCGGTGACAAGAAGAAGAAATTAAACATCTAAAAAAAAAAGACCAAAAAAAAAAAAAAGAAAACAGCACAAAGACAATACAAAAGATCTTCTAACAAGAAGTTTGGTGTTGAGCTGACGGTAACAGCAGAAGAGGGGGAAAAAAAAAAAAGAAAAAGAAAAAGAAAAAAAAAAGAGAGGGGGAAAAAAGGAAAGGAGACATGTGTACACTTCATACGTGTGCTCTCATAACCCTCATTTATAAGCGGGAAACTTATGCATACGCATAACGATGCACCGCTACAAGGCATGTCCAAAGGCAATGTCACGTATCTTTTCAACAGTCTCCATAACAATTCGTCTTTTCTTTTCAACCTCCTCTTGGCACCGTTTCAGATCCTCCTCCTGCTTCTGCAACTCCAACGCAAGAGCGGCTAATTTTCCCAAACGCTCGTCTAAAATCCCCTCATCCCTTCTCTTTTCCGTGTATTCCACCCCCATCGTCATGGGGTCCGTGTACTTAGATGAGTTGGTATCAAAGGAATGTGTCATTGCTGAAGTGACCCCCTGATGGCGTTTTTTACCTGATGGCGTTAGAGCAACCGCTCTCATTACCTCACGCTCCGTTCCATTAAACACGGCATGCATATCCGTCACAAGTGGTTCGCTGTTTCCCCCGCTGAAGTATGCCTCTGCCGTTATGGCGGGCACGTCTGCAAAGGTGGGAGGGTACACATCGACCTGCAATTCGCTATCCGCCAGTCTACGTGGGAGAAGCATTTGGATGGGGTAAATGGACCGAGGCGTGAGTGCGTAAAAACGCGCAATCTCACACTGTCGTGTGTCCAAGGACCATTTAGGGAACATGCAAAGCCCTTTATGCGCCTCTACAGAGTCGTAGGAGGAGCACGGCACAAGTCGTCCATCCACCAATTCAAAAAAACGAATAATTCCATCTCCTTTGCCTCCAATGTACAAAATATTTGTGTCCTCATCGAAAAAGGGCAAAATAAGAGAACTGAACTGGTCAATATCTTCCGTATGCACCGGTGATGCCATGTCCCGGGCATCCCACAGCATGACCTGGCGGCTTTGTGCCTTACTAAATCCAACGGTCACAATGAGATTTTGCCGTTTTGCCCACACACAACGCTGGCTCTTGCCGCCTTGATGAGCGCTGCCGGAGGCAACAATATCTCCTCTCCTAGGATCCATAATATTCACCTTTTTGTCCTTTGAGGTGGAGCAGAGCAGTGAACCATCAAGGTTCCATTCCAGCGACATGATTTGGTCCGTGTGACACTTGAGCACTTCACCCGCCTTGCCAGTGTTGACATCCCACACATTGACCACCATGTCAGCCCCAGCGGAGGCCAGTACATTCATTGCACTAGGGTGGAAGTTCACAATACCCACCTTCTTGGTATGTCCCTGCAGATGTACAATGTGGTCACTGGTGCTCTGTGTGAGACCCTCTTCTGGAATATCCCACCCCATGATGGTACCGTCCTCACTTGCTGTAAAAAGTTTTGTAGGATCAAACGGATTGAAGGCAACATCAATGACCGGGCCCTCTTGACCCAATAATATCGGCGGGCTGGATGGAACCTTGCCATAGTCGGTATGACGTAGCACTGCCGTACTGCCAAGTTGCGCCCACGGCACCGCAAGAAAGCGGTCATTGCAGGCAATCATGTTACTGCAGTCCCATATCGCACCTGAGGGGTTGACGTTCATGAAGTGCCTGTCATGCCGTGCCGGGACAGATTGTGTGTGACGGAACCGGGAAATGGCCATGACTTTATCCTTTTCTGTACACGGAGGTGTCAGAGAGAGAGAGAGCCCTTGCGTTCACGTGCGTGCGACTGTGCGTGTCGGAGTGCGTAACTATGTGTGCGTGCGTGTTTGTGCTGCAGAAACACGTCACCGCGTGTAGGACACGACCACAAGGGAATGATAGGGGGAAGACAAAAGTCAAAAAAAAAAGAAAAACAAAAAAAAAAAAAAAAGGGAGGCCAGAAATCTGTTCCTTCTTCTTCATGACAGCCGGTACGATACAAAAGCGGCCAATGTTGAGAAGAAAAGGTGCAAAATACACACACACACACACACACACACACAGGCACTCTCAGGCACAAAAAAGAATCTACAACACAATACCACTGTTGTGGGTAAACAGAAACCCACTGCTACTCCCAACCGTCATCCCTGTTATCATCACAACCCCGCAATGGAGACGCCGCAGCATACATACGCATACTCTTTACGTCGAGTAGGGTTTGTTTTTGTTATGAATGTAACTAGAGTCCTCCAGCATCTTGCTTGCATGCTCCTTCCTCTCATTGATTTCACTTCGATACTTCCTCCAGACGTCTTGCTTAAGCAACTCATTCACATCTTCTGTTGGTAGACGGAACACAGCTGCGGTCAAATCCAAATTGGACATAAAAAACATACATGAAGCCACGATGAATCCCATAATGACACGTTCGTAGACCAAATGACTTTCATACTTCCAAAACATACGCCAATGGCGACGTTTAGTCGTCAGAAATGTGGTGCGAAACTCATGATTCCGCATTTCCCACAGCGTTTGGTACCACCGCACCTGCTCTGGCAGTTCGTATTTGTTTTTCATCGCCCCTCTACAACAGTCACCCCCGCTCACTTCTTCCCTTCCCTTCCTTCTTCCTCCCACAGTTGTACAGTGCAGTGCGTACGTGCGTGTGTGCGGGCCCGCCAGTCTTTACGCAGCCTCCCTACGTTATCATGCATATTCATTCAAAAATGCAGCATAAAGTTTGTTTTTGTTTTTGTTTTTTAAGGCACAACAAAAAGAAAGATAAGAAAAAAAATAAAATAAAATAAAATTTATGGGTGTCGTTACAAAGAAAAAAGAAGAACCGAGAAAACATGTTACCGCAATGTAAAAAGCACAAAAACAAAAAATAAACGCATTCAATTTAAACATTCCTTCTTCCCCCCACGTGTGTACATATATAAATATATATATGTGTGTGTGTGTGTATCTGCTCCTAAAGAGGCGTCACATCCTCCACGTCGGCGGTGGCCCAAGGACTGCTGCCTTCACGCCGTTCATTGACCTCCTCCACCACCGTCTCCTCCCCAGACGCCACCTCATCCTCTGCAGAAGCATTGTAGCCAGATGAGGCTGCAGATAAGAGATGATCCTCTGGTAAGCAGGGATCTTCAACACGGGGCATCTCCAGTAGATTATTCTGGTTGACATCATTATTAGGATCGAAGTCAGAAAAAAAAACGCATCTCTCAAGTGCTGGAATGGTAAAGTCCATTCCCATCGTGTCATTTCTGCCAATTCCCTTCTTTACCGCCCCTATGCCATATGTGCTCTCATTTCCCTCACGGTTTGGTGTGGGATACCGCACACATTTGCCTCTGTAGAGCACGGACAATAACATGGATGGAATCAACCCATTCGGTGTAAAGTACTCCCGCGGATCCACGCGGCCCAACGTGTATGGGACAACCGATACGGTGCAAGGCCAGTCTGCCTCCACCCATACCTGTGGTGCGTCATCCAGCACCGCCACGCTCCTCGCTTTGGGTGAGAAATGACGCGTGCCATGTCTCTTCCTGTGTGCACGATCTAACTCCTGCAGAACGGCTGTGGTGCACTTCCGCGAGTTCACAAGACTTTCGTGAGAGCGCCATCTGGCATGCTCCTTCTCACTGGCAACATGTGGTGGCAACGCTGAAGAAGAAAAAGGGCCATCCGAAGGCAAGTCATCCGACAATTTACCGAGTAACAACCCCGCCGTAAATACGCGTCCGTACCCGGGTGGAAACAGCTCCTCCTCCGGGTCCAGTGCCTGTGACAAGATGGCCTCCGTGCGGCGACGCGATGATTTCGTCACGAGTACAACAGGAATGCCCCACTCAATAGCAAAGTACCGTAACAACCGTCTCACCCCATGACGCACGTAAATCGTCTCCGTGCGCATTCCCTGGAAAGGTGTGTCCGTGACAAGATATTGCACCTCCTTCCGGACCTCAAAGTGAAGTTGGCTTCCTCCCTTTGCCCCGCTCACATTTTGGCATGCCATGGGTGTAGAATCCTCACCGGCAAGGATGGCGTTATCCACCAGGGTACGGTCCATGTCCACCATCAGCACGTTTTCCTCCCGTATTTGCCGCAGCAGGTGTACAACGTAGTGGCTGAAAGATTGAACAACAAAAGTTGTCTCTTGTACAAGTTGCTTCCCATTCCCTGTGGTGTGATGGGGTTTTCGCGGCAACTGACGCAGTATTAACGCAGCGACTGGTTTTGCAGCCCGCTGGTGTACCAGGAGGGCATCCAAGCGTTGGGAATGGGCCAAATGGAATTCAATTTTCAGTCGTTCGTTCTTACGTTGGTGTTTCTCACGCACGGAAAGAGACCGGCGCGTCGCCACGTGGGAATTTGACGAATTTCCCGCAGTAGAGACGTCATTGCCATCCGTGTCGCATACATCGTCCGCACCATCTGTGGTCACCTCACCTTGCGCCCAGCTTACGGACGCCTCCATCGCGAT